CAATTTTGGGGTCATTAGAGAATTCGGATTACTACTATCTCCTCTCAAAATACTTACTATTTCTTAGCAAAACGCCTAGAACTTTAATGTTACTGGCAATCACCAAAGAAGTGAGATATTTGAACCGTGGATAAATAACTTACGCGACGAGGAAAGTTGTACGTGAGAGCAGCTCGTTCGCAAAAGTTGAACTGGTTGGCCAGCTTCCTGACTCGCGGCTTTACTACAATAACTTCCTCTTCAACAGTCTCTGGTTCTACAAGCATAATAATACAATAGCATTATTACTTCTTATATATGTATCTCTCGTTCTATGTAAAGAGGTCGTTGTAATACATCCAATAGTTGAGAGCCACTATTGGAAATTGGCCGTCAGCTCAGCAAACGTTTACCGGTATTGTGCGAAGCGAAAGAGAAGTTTTATTGCCAAATTTTGGCCACTCTATGATTGTTCCATAGTTACTGCTCGCAGACTACACTTTCTTCTTTCCATTCATAATTTCCCCTGCATTATCATAGAGGTTAGGACTTTTCTTTTAAATTAGCAATTAGCATTGTTAATAGACCTAACAGCTGTTCACGTTAAAGGACCTTTTAAGTTATATAATAATAAAAAATGAAATCTTACTCTCTTCCGGTTCCGGTTCCGGTTCCTGGACTTCTTCATTTGCAACTTCCTGTTCATCCTGCACGTCTGGCTCTGGCGGAGGTTCTGCTGCTTCTGGAACTTCTTCTTCAGCTGGACCCTCCTCTAGTGGAATCAGCTAATTATTAACCCGGTACGGAATATTGTTTTTTGGTACGTTGATATGAAACGTTACAGTAATTTAAGATATTAAATCAGTCTGTGTGCATTCTTAAAGATGTAGGTGTCAGCATGATTAACACATGTATTATCTTTACCTCACCCCCTTGCGAAAACTTATTGAAATGTATAAAGGAAATGTATCATACCTTCTGGTTTTGCTTCTTCAACGGGCGGTGGTTCCGCTTCCGGTTCCTCTTCCTCTTCTTCTTCAGCGGCAGCTTTCTTAACTTTAGCTCGTTTTGGACCCGCGTCGTCGAAACCAACCATACCTTAAATGATTACTATTATTAAAATACGACCCAATGTATAGATCGTATAGGTTTAGGTTGACTCGTCGGGATCAAATGTGCCAACTCATGCGGCGGGTACTTTTATGTATATTCCTTTTCATGCTCAGTCATTTCACTGGGCAATTGAAACTAAGAACAAATTTGTTGCCTGTTAATTTAATTAACAATGATGTGCTTACCATAACCGGCAGCAATTTGAGCCTTTGCCTCATCAGAGTCTTTTCGTATCGCAGTGCCTTGGTACACGTATAGTGGGTAGGCTTTACCAAATGCTGGTTTGGGCTTCATTATGAACTTGCCTTGACCGTAGTGATATGCCACCTCTACTGGCACCCATTGTGGATTTATTGTTGTCAATATACGACCAACTTCTTCATCAAGTTCCTAAAAATTACATTAAAAGAATCATAATTTATTTGCCAATAACTAATACTCGTCGTAAGTTATTTTATTTTTATCAAGAATGTTTTAGGTGTGGGTTGTAAGACCGTTATTATGTGTCGTCGAGCGCGGAATGTATATTTGTAAGGTAAATAACAGTACTTACAGCCTCCGGAACGAAATCCTGATCATCTGGCTTGATGAGTACGCGTGGCTTGAGCCATTCCAACGCTTCATCGTCTGCAAGATTAGCCCGCGATTTAGACGCGTCCTTCTGCTACATTAAAAATAACAACAAATATAAAAATGAGTTAGTTTTATCACAATAAAAAATAATTCTACCTACATCTAAACGCTGCAATGTCTTTGCGATGAGCAACTTATCATCGTCTTTATTTAGCGCGCGTTTAACCATAGCTTTTAGCATTTTTTTTTCTTAAACTATAATACGAAAGCACAGGACCGCAGCAAAACAGGTACTGTAGTTGTCTAATGTAAGTACTTCAGTGATTTACGAGAAAATATTCTAGACATTTGCATATTTATTTGATGACAGGTCTTTATTGGCGAGGATCATGTAACATGGCCGTAAATATTACGAGGCATTTTAACTAAGCGAAGCAAGCGTAAACAAATTATAAAGGGCTGGTGCGTGCCGCAAGCTGGTTTTAACAAATTTATTCAATTACGTATCTGTAACTTAACCGAATATAAAGAAGAATCGGGAGTACTCGATGTAGAATCAATTGACATTATTTAATTTACTATTTAAATTATTAATTAACTTTATTTCTTTTATTTTAAAATAAATTCCACCGTTATCGTCGATTTATTCGAATAACAAAACGAACAACTTTCTCTATAGTCGCGGACAAAGTAGTTTCAGAAACTGCACTGGATTGGTTTTGAGAATTACCATAGTGTTAATGCAGTACGGATGGCGCGAAACTTTTCTATTAAGTTACTAATAGTTTAAAAAATACTAGCTACAAAAAACGTATTTATAAAACTCTACGATAAAAACCGCAATAAAACATATTCAGTCATAGAAAATTAAATAAAAACTCTTAAATTTAAAGTCATAATTGCGCCACAACAGAAAACATTGTTATCTGTGTTTTCCAGAATGTGATCAAATTTGCAATAACATCTAATATAAATGTATGATAATAATTAACATATTTTTAAATGGCGTCGAAAAAGTGAACATTCTCAATTCGTATGTATTATATGGAATTATACCAAGACCTTGATTTCTTTAATTTTTTAATTTATTAATCTTCTTTTGCAGACTGTACTGCGACTTCCCTTAGCGGGCGTGTCACCAAGCTCTAATTAGTATCCGTGTCTGGCGGTAGCTAGCACTGAGGCGACACAGCACCGAGTAGTGACGTCACAGTGTGCCTACATTCAAATTAGCCCGACTTATCACAAACGTTTGCCATTTCGATCCCGGCCTTTCTTGATATACAATGTAGTAGCCACACTTGAAAATGGGCAAGACTTAAGATGTTCAAACATAAATTCACCGCTTAATTAGGTAAGTCTAATGTGACATTTTAATAAAAATAAAAATAAAATTGGAGTGTCTGTCTATAATAAAAAACAATCGATGAAATAAAAACAAATTCTTATCACGTATCAACTATTAACTGTTAATTTTCAACTGTTTTATTTTTCCAAAATCATCAAAAAATTAAATCTTACCTATAATTTACAATTACGTATATACTCCATTCAATTTTCACATAAAATCATACAAAAAATTATTCACAATAAACTATACGACGTCATTTTGTTTATAGCTATTTCCACGGCCGAGACATAATTCTGAGTAGAATACACTGTCAAATGTATTCAGAAACGGAACATCGAAGCATCAGAAAGCACTAAACAAGGTTATGATCACTTTCCTGCTATAACAACGTTAAAGTCGCGTGACGTTAGCACAATGCAAGAGCTTAGGTCAATGCAAAACCATGATATAACATTGTTTTCATTAATATAATAACTAGGTCAGTAATTTGTGAGCTAAATATTTTGTATTAAATTCCTACGACCTATTACATAGTGACTTGAAGCTCTAATAATGTTTGTATAAATTTTATATACTAGTTGGTAAAAAATGCCTAGTATCTTTATTATAATATAAAAGTAGGATTCATTTTTTTAATCCGGTATTTACAAAGACGACTTCAAAGTGTATGAATAAGGGGCTACGTTGATCATATTAAAGCTTTGAACAAATATAAACAATTTATGCGACAGCTTAAAGCTTAAAGGTGACACTAAAGTCTAATAATATTCAAAACCGCAACAAGAAATGATATCAAAAGCGTACTATTATCTTTTTGAATTTGACAATATCTACAGATGAAAACACGTATAGCTTTTTATACAGCGATAAATTTCCTAAAAACACTACGCAGAGTAAACAGGATCACGAAGCTTGGCTTCACCATATCAATACCTGAAATTAACAATTTGATATGCTCACGCCAATGCCAAAAATAAAATGTTGACGTACACAATTCACAAGATATTTACATAATGCACTGCTAAACCTTTACTCACTCTAAACCTTTTCAGGATCAACCCTATAGATTTCTCCGTGGATTTGCTTCGCCAGATGTCTGGCAATCTAACCGGCTTACTCATTCCTTGTGGACTAGGGATGGGAATCTAAATCAGTTGTTATTTCAGAATATTAAAAATAATTCGTAAACAAAATATTTTGTGACCAACACCATATATAGACAGCACAAGTATTTGCACATAATAGTTACGCCAGCGAGTAAAAATATGATTGATTACTGCAGTGCTAAACATCTGCATTAAGTTATAAGTTTGCGCATATTTGCCGTGTCTATTAATTTAGTATCTCATCAACAGTTTTAAAGTAGTGTATCAAGATTTAGTTTTGTAACTTATCTACAGTTGTAAGCGTCAATAGCCTAATGGTTAAGGGTACGGATTTCCGATCACGAAGTCGGGGATTCGAATCCCGCCATTCGACTATTGTCGTAAACCATATCCTAGCACAAGCATAGAGCTTAGTTGGAATGATACAAAAAATTTCAAAAAAAATCTGCTAATATTTTAACAAAAAAAAACTTATCTACAGTAAAGCTATAAAATATAATACGAATAAACACATTTATTAAATTTTATGAAATATTCATATCCAATATAAGGAAAATAATTATCTATATATAAATTTAATTTGTCATCGTATTCATGTAAGTTTTTGTAATAAATTTTGTTCAATATTGAAATATTTTCCTGTATCATTTATAATATTAAATGTGACGAAATTAACACAAGTTATGGTGAATAAGTGAAGTAAAGAGAAGTGATACATCAAAATATGTGTAAAAGAGATTTGTGTAATTACGTAATAATTTAACTACAGCTTAGTGTAATGTTAAGTTGTACATTGGATTTCCACAGCCATTCCACTTGTATTAAAACATATATTTAACCTGTTTTTTTCAAAGGAATTGAAAGGGATAGATTACAATTGTTTAGACAATGGAAATCCATAGTTAGATATGAACTGTGGGTTTTATTTATATTTGTACGTGTGGGTGTGTGGTGATGCGTTGCTGTGATATGTGAGTTACGACAATAACTAAGTTAGTTATTTATAGTTAAGTTAGGAGATTATCCTCTTATTATATATATCTTGAATTTGAATTCATATATATTTTAGTCAATTGCAATACTTTTTGGATGCTTTTAATTATCGCAATAATTTATTTATTCATACTTGATATAAATACTTATAAGTTAAATAATCTAGCAAAGTTATTATACAGTTTCGTGTTGATATTTTAAGAGTAACTTTGTAAGAATTCATATATCTTATTTGATTTATATGTTTTATTTTTTTATTTTTGTAATAATTATTTTAAACATCAATACAATCATAACAGTTTTATGTAATATTAACAAGAAATCGTACCTTCTTTGGAGCCATACCAAACCTCTAAAGTATCAAATGAGGCACATAATTGCGAATAAACGATAAATCTTGCAAAATACTATGTCAGAAAACAATTTTTACAGAAATTGACAAAGGTATTTGACAAAATATCTTTGTTGTGAATTACTAGTGCGCGCGCAGAGATCGGTTGCCATGGTAACAGAGGGAGACTCCCCTAGGACCTTGGTTTTCATCCCGAGGAATAACGCGTAGGTTTCGTACGTCACTCGGCTCCTAGTCGATATTAGTGATAGCGGTCGGAAAAATAAATTTTATTACGATATTTGGATACGTTTAAATGTAAGTAAGAATATTTTATAATCTATATCTTTCTTAATAATGTTTGTGATGATTATTCTATTTGATATCGTTTGTTATTTGGTGAGTAGTCGAACTACGTTGTAAAGGTTACAAGCAATCGATCGTCATGCAGTTATCTAATAAGGGTTAATAGAGACATGTGGCTGGTTGTTACCGATAAGATTATGTTAGATTCAAAAGTACCTTTGTTAACGCTGAATATAATTGACATTTTAACTGTTTTTCTTCATATTATAACATTTTCTTCTTGTATCCAAAAATATATTTATTTATGCTTGAATTACATATCAAAACATGCATTAATTTAATATCTACGTCGGAAATGCAAATTATTCTATGTATACTAGTAGTTAGTTGACAGTTATGCGTTTGTTTTTAAGCTTGCGATATCAATATTATTCAATTAGCGAATATCTTTTTTTTTTATAAAAATATTAATCTTCATTCATCATAACTAGAAATTATATTTACGTGTTTTAATCTGTTCACATATAACGCTAGTCAATTATTATTATAAAGTGCATATGAGTTCTATAAATTAAGTAATGTATTAAAAAAAATAGCTTTTTATCAAACTACATAAACTAGTAAAAACCTCATTGTAACAAGGTTCAAAGTCATTTTATGGAGAGGTATTTGAGACAGATGCTCTCCATGTAGAACTTTGTAATATCATTTAATTTGTCTTTTTTTCAGTAGAGGTCGGTTCAAATAAATCCATCAAGCTGGCGGGCAACGTGGAGATCCGCGTGGGGCTGTTGGTGCCCTTGCAGCTGGAGCGCGAGGATAGCGGCATTGACAGCGAGGATGCCGCCTGCGTGCCCGGCATGCGCTTCCCTGAAGCCAACAACGTAAGCCTCGAAAATACGTATATAGTGATATTAAAGCATTACGGTGGCTCCTTAGTTCGCTGACAATGTGAATTCGTAACAGTCGCGACTTTAAAGTTTGAATATTATGTTACCTCGTATCTACTGTAGACGTGCGTTCGCATTAAAATGAGCATATGAAGCCTTTTGAAGCTAACACATAACACATTCCATACGCATGAATTAAATATTTAGATTTGTGGATATAAAAACATGGATCATTCTTAATTTTCAGTTTGTGGACTCGAGCAGCAGCGATGACGAATTTATTATGGATGCGATTCGCGACGAAAGGAATAATGCGGTACGAATTTTCTTCAATTTAACTTTAACTATTTTACGTTTCCTAACGGCGAACCAGTTCAATAAAACCACTACGCCTGTATTACCCTCCCAAGACTTAAAAGTATGTTATCAATAAGATATTCTTGTTGTAAGTACGATACAATTAAAATGATTGTTACTGTATAATTACAGAAGCACATCCAAGACGCTTGGATGGATTTCGTCGGGATGGATTACCCAATGGTGCCGTTGGTGCGACGGGAAATTGCTGTCGACTCTCAGTCGGTTGACCGCAGCAGTCCTGACAGGTCGTCCCCACTGTATGAAGTCGAACTCACTGCTTCCGATGAAGATGACGACACGTCCAACGTGGAAGTTGTTATACCGATAAATAATCAACAGCGCAAGAAGGTATCAACTACAGAAATATTATTACAAATCTTTTTCGACATAATCTGCTGTCTACCTAATCGTCTCCCACTGTCGTAAATCGTGATACAACATCCCGCAGCACTAACCTATACATGGATAGGCTATATCCGTGGTATTTTGTATCTATTTGATCTTCGTCATTTTGACTCTGACAGTTGCGATTGATAGCGGTGTTGGGGATTCACACTAATAATAGAGATAGTATTAACAATCAAGAACTTCAGAAAAGCTGTCATTTCCAAGCAATAGCCTATCCATTTATAGAGATCAGTTCTCCGTAGAGAAAGTCACATTCGATTAATAATTTCCACAAAATGTGGTGATATGTAAACAAATAAATACTTGTCAAGCAAGTGATAGATAGAGATGTCACTTCTATACATTTTTGACTTCTTTATTAACCATCCCGATAATTCAATGTTACTAAGACGAAGGTTTGTCTCTGCGTTTCTACTTTGTCATTTTGAAAGTTGTAAATAACAACTTAAGTACTTAATATCTTTTTACTTTGTACTAAAGTTCCAAAAAATGTTTAAAAAATGTTTATAAGTGGTCATGTGTTCGATGAGTGTGCATGATTATATACAAAACTTAATATTATTAAACGTCTGAATATTTTTGACAAAATAGTAGTTTGTGGGCATTATCTTTAGTTCAGTTATCTATTATTTAAATTATTATTGATTAATATATTGTTACTTTTGTAAAAATTAATTATGTCAGGGTAAAGTTTACTTAAAGATTACTTATATTTTAACGACATTTAGAAATTAAATTCTATCTCCTATATAACTATTAATTAATATAAAAATATGGAATTGCTCTCGCATTTAACTCTGAATTAGAAGCATTTCTTCTTTTTTATTTATATTTCATGTACAACATTAATGTCAAGCACATGTTAGAAGTATTTGGCCTATTGACAAAAATATAGGCCTAAAGTCATTTTGATCGACATTTACATTTTGCATTTTGTTTATATACATTCTGTTAAATATGGTTTTGTTAAATATAATGTATTATTTCGCCGACGTCACTTAAAATCAGGCGGGATTGAGGTCAAGTACAATTAAAAAAAAAGTTAGTTTATTTCTGTCTTCTTAATTACGGTCAATTAGAAGTGTTGTTCCATGGAAAAAAGATAAATCAAGTCAATGAGATTGATTGAAAACTTTTATATGCAATCTTATCATCATCCTCATCAGCTCACTATACGTCCTCACCGAGGGGCTCGGAGCCCAACCTAAGTTAGGGGTGATTAGGCCATTGTCAACCACGCTGGCCCAATACGGGTTGGATGACTTCCCACATATCTTTAAATTTCTTCTCAGATATGTGCAGGTTGCATTACGATGTTTTCCTTCACCGTAATGACATCGGATAAATGTACATATGTAAATCGAAAAACATATTGGTACATGGCGGGATTCGAACCCAGGACCTGCAGATTACAAGTCAAGTGCTTTAGTGCTTTTAGTGTAATCTTATAACTAAGGCTAATTTATAATCTATGACAATCTGGACGTATTTTATTGTGATTTTTGATTTAACAAGACTGACTTGGCCAATTTGATAAAATCAATTTAAATTAAATTTTAATTATAACTCTAAGTGAAATTTTTGACTTTGCCAAATATTTTTTTATGGAAATTCGTATTGAACAAACATCATTGTATTTACAAAAATTATTTATACAACGTAAATCATATTAATTTTAACTAAGCATTTTTTTTATTTAAATTAAACTCTATGTTTAAATATTTAAATGCATTTCATTGTGCTAGTTGTTACCAAAAATGTTATTCCAGAAATATAGTACTTCCATTATATGTACAATTCTTCTATCAAAGATAAATAATCATATAGGGTGTCCCAAATGGTTACGTACATAGGAAGGGGGATGATAGGGGTGGTCACAAGGGTCACCAGAAAAATGAAATAAAAATTCCCCTCTGGGTATTAAAAAAAATAAATGGCATTTTTTAAAAACTTAAAAATTTTTACACCTTCTGGGGCAATTTTAATTTTCTTTAAAATCTTTGTTAGTTGTAATGTTTTTTTTATTTCATATTGATAAAGGGTTATTGACGATAACATAATAGCTTTTTTAAATATAGCAATATTTGTAGGTCATCGGTTACAAAATTGTCGCAGAAGGTGTAAAATTTTTAAGTTTTTAAAAAATGCCATTTTTTTTTTAATATCCAGAGGGGAATTTTTATTTCATTTTTCTGGTGACCCTTGTGACCACCCCTATCATCCCCCTTCCTATGTACGTAACCTTTTGGGACACCCTGTATAAATAAAGGAATTACTAAAGACAATTATGTCTTATAAATGTAATTATTTTTATAAAAAATTCTTGATGTTAGGAAAATATCGACACGTAAGCGTCAAAAATATTATATAATTGTAGTATTAAACATAAATATGTTAACATTTATCATTATAATACATAAATATGGTGTCATTTTTTTTTAGTCAATAGAAGTCTGTTTTAATTAAATATATGGTGTCATTACATTGTTAGTTTTTTTATGTACATTTTTATTTATAAAAAAGAAACTGTTAAATGAAATATTTTACATGTAGCAATTAGTTGACTGATATATCCATGTTTTATGTTATGCATTTTAATGAATTATAATACATTTTATATGTATAAGTAATTATTTCTAGTAAGTGTATTAAGAAATTAAATGTTTCCTCCTAAAATAGTTTTTTTTTTGACTGTCTGTCGCCAGTGATTCGTCCGCGTGGATTGAAAAAAAAACTTAATTAGTTCCTGGCAATTATTTGAATTTTTCTAACCTTTTTAACCTTCCATAGACCTCAACGAACGTTTCAAGATCAATATAAGATAAATCCGTTCAGCCATTCTCGGGTTTTAGCGAGACTAACCAACAGCAATTGATTTTTATATACATAGGATTATCAAGCGACTAAAATCTATTTAGGAATACCTATGGATATTTAGCGTTATTTTTTAAAAGCATATATAATAAACCGGTTACTAATGTTGATGGATGTATATGTAAGTTTGTATTTGAGGTTATATACAGTTATAATATAAATTCTACTTCATAATGCTTCTTGTAACTTAAAAGTAGAATCGAGAACTAAATAATGCTATTGGACAACAGATGGCGCTTAGACTAAAAATTACTTTTGTTTAAAAGAAATCACATAATTTTGTTACAGTAATAAGTATTTTTGGGCACAAAATAAAATTATCTAATTTCAGCTCCCTAATATTATTATAATTTTAAATTAAACTGGTGAGACAGTAAGTTTTAGTCAATTGATATTCTTACCAACGAGATTTTACGGTAACACATACAAAATTATTTAGAGAATCTTGTCATCCATCAAGTATAGCCCGCGTTTTGTCACTCGGGTGCCGTCGAGGGAACGTAACTCGGCTCATGAGAACGTTTGTTGCATTTTTATGAACTAACCATTTTATACGAATACACTGTCAGAGGTCTTCCAACGTTAAATCGATATGTTCCGTTACATTCATATAAAATACATGTACAGTTATGTACAAGTATTCAACCGCAAAAATACTTCGGTAACTTCGGACAATACGGTAAACTGAGACTGTAATAATAATAAATATTTTTTAACTTGTTTTATTTTCCATAACTAAATATTAAATTATGATTTATTGCATACATTTATTTTTATACAGTACCAGCGGACCCGACAGACGTTGTCCTGTCTACACGTCTTTAATTTGAATAAATTAATATGAAGTTAATATTTGATGACAATTGTGAATCTAAAACATTCCCATATCCCCTTGAACACAAACAAAAAATTTCATCAAAATCGGTCCAGTCGTTTGAGAGAAGTTCAGTGACATACACACTCACAGAAAAATTATATATAAAAAGATAACTTTAAGTTTTATCGCAAGCGAGAGCTAAACGTAGTGTCGGTCGGCACAGTTATGTATTACTCTTCCAGTCTTCCGTTGTATTTGTAACTAGCTGTCGCCCGCAATTCCATCCCTGTGGAATTAAAAAACTTAATAAGTACCTTGTGTTTTCCAGACTATGTTCTATATGTGCGCTAAATTTTATCAAAATCGGTTAAGCCGTTCCGGAGATACCTTCAAAATCCATCCATACATCTAAACATTTGCATTTATAAGTAAGAAGATTATGTTTTTAAAGATATAGAAATAGAGATTGTTAGGTTATTTCATTCCGTATTGAATAATTGTAAATATTCACTACGTGGTTGCATTGCCAAAAAACTAGTACAAAGATATGTAATTTCTCTCATACACTTTGAAAAGAACATTCGTGTATTTTCAAATTTGATTCTGTAAGATGTCCACGGAATTTAAAAAAGCGAAATCCAAAGGATTTAAAAACTTTCTTCGTTCTTGTAGAAAAGTCCAAAAGTTGTAATTAATATTTGTATGTACTCATCTCATAAGTTAGTGGTTAGTTGTATCAACATTTTAAAACGCAACTTTATTCATTGTGAGCGTCGGTGGCTCAGTGGTCAAGCTCTTGACTTGCAATCTGCAGGTCCTGGGTTCGAATCCCGCCATGTACCAATGTTTTTCGATTTACATATATACATTTATCCGACGTTCTTACGGTGAAGGAAAACATCCTGATGCAACCTGCACATATCTGAGAAGAAATTCAAAGATATATGCGAAGTCAACCAACCCGCACTGGGCCAGCGTGGTCAGCGTGCCTAATCACTCTTAACATAGGGTAGACTCCGAGCCCCTCGGTGGGGACATATAGTGAGCTGATGATGATGATGATTAATGCTCATCTCATCAAGTTAGTGGTTAGTTGTATCAACATTTTAAAACGCAGCTTTATTCATTGTGCGTATGCAGAAACGGCCTTTCGATCGCATCATCATTCAACCACTGTGCGTAGTCACAAGTTTATTCATTTAAAAAATATTGCGTACTATTCGTAACTGTACTCTCAAGAGGTTTACTGTTATGAATGAAATTTTATTCTGTACCATGTAACGAATATATGCCGTGAAATAAAAAAGTGTAAAATGTATTTTCCGCTGTAAAGCTTTGGTTTAAATATTTTAAAAGAGCAGAACGCTTTGATGTATTTAAAACTTGGAAACTTCTAAATTTATTATTATTTTTTAGATACAACGATTTAAACATACGAATAAAATAGTAAAAGTATAATAAACAAAATCTTGTCGTCTGCAAAACAGAAAAGCTCAGTTTGTAAGCTCTCTGCCTTTTGTTTTTTGTCCTAATTGGTGTCAATTTATCGTCTTTAATGTAGGTACCAAAACTGCCATGAACTTTTAGTGGAACTTTCCGAACAAAAGAATAAGACAATTTAATTCTTTTATAAACTCGTTTTTATACCACTTCATTTGTTTCAACGATAAAACTATTACATGAAAAGTTGAGATTTATTACAGGTCATTTAAACATAAGCTATCCGGCGAGCAATTAATGAAACGACCAAGATTTGTGAGTATGAAATAATAAGAGGCGCTGCGTAATCTCTGAATCGGATCGTAGTAAAGGTTTATTATCGTTTTCTAAAGCGTCCGGCGCACACGTGAAGGCTTTAATCGAGTATGGGTTAAAGCAAGCGCTGGAGGCTGAATGGGCGCGGGGCGTCGGCGGCCCGCCTGCCGAGTCAGTCGCGCCTCGAGCCCCGGAGGGGCTGCACGTGTCCCAGCTCCCGCCTCGCGACTTATGTAACCATCCGCACGGTGAGTCCGCAGCCTCCGCGCCACTGCCTCCCCCCGATCGACCCCTGGGCCGGCCCACGCGCGCTTATCTACCGCTACCCCGCCAACCCCTTTCCCCGCCTCGTCTCATATCGACTGATAACTCTCGACGGAAGCACCATCGGCCCGCGTTGTGCAATAACTGTCAGCTGAGACGTGACATAATCGATGCAGTAAGTACCGGTGCTTGTTCAGTGCGAATCCGTGGTCTGCTCCACTATATGGCATGCGAGTGCGTTATATAACGGGACGTCACCTCAGGTGGTCGGCCGCGCTGCCTCCACTCGCCCGCCAGCATTCAGATAAGACCGCTAAAATGCATTACAATATTTCCATCGTACAACCTAAGAAACTTTATTCTACCCACTTGTTTAGTTTTAGAAAATTTTTAACATTTTTATTTGATAATCCACGAGATACGTAAACAACTTAAACGTAGCACTATTTTAACACGATATTTGGAATTTAGAGGTTATGTGATAAAACAAAATAATATTCCTTAGTCATGTTCCATAAAACAAAACATTGAATAAATCAAACATAATTATTAAACTGTAATTAATGGTTATTTTTTTTTAATAAAATGAATTGATATAATGACAAATTTTTCTTGATAAAAATTATTTAAAAGAAAATTTACTCAAGATTCTGAGGTTACGTGATGGAAAAGCTAAGAACGTAAAAATAAGCAAAAATTAAGTAAAAGTTAAATAATTACAGTTCTATTTAAACCTCTATGGATTCTATTAGAAAATAATTGAAATACTTTATTTAAGTCTGGACATCAACTTCTTATAGGACGATAACATTGTTTTAAACCAACAAACAACATGAATAGACATTAATGGATGCATTGACTTAACTTGTATGTAAATTGATTGTCATAATGAACAATGCCAGCAGGTTCATGTACTAAATATTAGTTAATATATTTTTTGTCACGACTCACAGAGTAAGATTATATATAAAATGTGTACATCGATTTTAACATCTTGCAAAATATTTATTTTATAATAATGCAAATATATTTGTATTGAGGCTAAGTATAATTTCCACGGTGACGAAATCGCGGGTAATAGATTAGATTAGATTTTTACTTACATTTTATCTTAATAATATTATAATTGCGAATGTTTGGATGGATGCACGGATGGATGTTTGTTTGAAGGTATCTCCAGAATGGGTGCGTATATCTAGCTGAAATATGGCGTAGATTTAGGATATAACCTAGAAAAAGGCAGGTTATTAATTAAGATTTTTTCTTAATCCCCCGTGGACAGAGTCGCGGGCGACGGCTAGTCGGCAATATCTATTAAAGTAAGATAGTTGGTCGATGAAACTCAGGTTTCTTTAGTATACAAGAACTATAAGTTCGGAACAAGTTTACGTTGGAAGTTAATATGTGAAATTGTATATGTGCAAAAGTTGAATACATTTCGCATTGTCTGTTTATTTGTCATGCAATATCTATATTCTCAACGATTCTTTTCTTGCTCGTTTATTTTTATTATTCAGCTTAACAGCTCAATACGTATTAACTGTCCATTATTTTACTTGTACATTTACTTACGTTAAAAGATTACAATGAACATTGTTTTATTGTCAGTCGTTATCATAGTTCAAATGTCAGCCAAGTATAAAAAATTGCCGCGTACCGCGACTTAGGTCGAACGGAATTAAAAAACTTAGTACCATATGTGTTGTTCTAGACCATAGTCTACAACTGTGCCAAATTTCAGCACGATCCGTTTAGCGGTTCAGGAGATAACTAACAACAAACATTTATCCATCCATCCATCTAAACATCCGCATTTATAATATTAGTAAGATAATTTAAAATTTGCAGTAACCTAGACTAGACTATCTTTCGTTTTACACATTTGTTTTTAATTTTTTTGTTTATTCATCTAAATAATATGAAAAGATTACGTTCAATAAGTTGCCAGTGTAAATTAAGTTAGCACCTAAAATAAATAAATATTAAAAATGTGTTTCCCAGAGAGAACAGAATATTCCGTTCATTTATAAAAAAATCAACTGACAGATTGTTTAGTCTCGTTCCAAGATTTAAGATTGAGGCCTTAAGAATAATCTAGAGTAAAACGAAACGCTCGGATGAGATGCCCCGAGGCGTAATTCAATTATCTTTTTTGTTTAATTTTCTTACCTGCAGAAATAATGGGCTATATTTAAACAAGTTTTTTTTTAATTTTAACATAGTATTATTACTTTTGCCAAACTGACAGGTGAGTCATCCTTATAAAGGGTCCATTGTTTATGACTAGAAACAACTTAACCGGTTTTGAAGTGTAAATAATTGCCCTCTTATTTACTCTGTGGTAATCCACTAATCTATGATATAATATAAGGGATGTTAGTAGTGTATTTTTCTTCAAAGATAAAGTACTGAGATAAATACATATTGTTTTTACAAGTGGCATCGTACCGCGAGAAGGTTACGCCCGATACACACAGCCTTTTGTGCTTCAAAGGCCTACAAAGGTCAGTTACCGCTTGTATGGATATAAGAATTTTGTAAATACATTTTTGTTTTACTTTGAATTAAAAAGAGATGCGTTATAAAGATTACGTTTTATATTTACATATACTATATAATATTTAAGTAATTTGAGATAACTTTTTGCCATTATCATAAGTGTTTCTCGGAGAATTTCGTGTTATTTTGGTTATTAAGAATATTATATTGATTTATCCTCGTTCATTAACATTCTAGTTCAGGTGGGATTCGGAGTCTATCCAATTAAGGAGTAACTAGGATACATACGCACGGGGGCACAGTGGTCTTATTTATTGATACCTTAAAATATATATGAATGTAAAAAGAGCGAGAGTGTTGTGTCAGGATTTCGGCGAATAGAGGCTCGTGCTCTCTGTCTACCCTTCTGGGTATATGCCGTAATGATCTCGTTTTTGTCTTAAAAAAACAAACATTTTACGTGTCTGTAAAGATTGCTGTAATAAGAACCCGTAGTTATAGAAGTATAAGGGCATAGGAATGTTTAAAACTTGTTATTCTTTAAACACGAATTTCCAGTTAATCAAATTTTAAATACAATAGTTGTTCGTATGAATTCCAATAATATTAGTATCAGTAAGGCTATTGTAGTAAGCTTTTATATCGAGCGTACATCGGTACTTACTGGCTGTATACATCGTCTGTCAGACGAGACACGTTTAGACTTAATGTTAACACATCGGAAATAAAATGATTTATTGTCGTTGTATTATCGATGTCTCGAACGTTCGGTGGCTCACCACTTTGTTGGCAAGTTGAGCGAATACGATTTCTCGATGTTATTTTATTGTGTTATATAAAAATCGTATTTGATTTGTGCAATAATAAAATGTTTTATTAAAAATTATTTGAGAAGTGTTCTAATGCTATTAGTCAGGTTTATAATTAAGTCTAACGTAATTATATAATTCAATGTTTTTTTTGGTATGTGAGTAAATCCTGAGTTGTTGAATTGTTTGAAATCATTGGATTGTAACAAGATGATACTTTTTGTTAGTACATTGTTTTTAAATGAACGAATGTATAACTAACCTAACCTCCAAATGTAATGTAATTTGGAATTTTAGTGCTAAGATTGCAAATTAGCTAATCTTATGGCAAAGGGGACCACCCGTGTGAACAAAAATTTATCTAATTTTTAGTCGACTTCAAAAAGAAGGAGGTTATGTTTTGTTGTTTTTGTAGATGAATAAAAATGTAAATTATGTTCTCATTTAAATTCTTTATTTAGCTCAAATGATATAGATTTATAATATTCTAAACAGTTCCATATTAATTTTACTAATATTATAAATGCGAATGTTTGGATGGATGGATGTTTGTTTGAAAGTATCTCTGGAACGGCTGCATGGATATCGCTGATATTTGGCATAGATGTAGATCATAGACTAGAAGAATACATAGGCTACTAATTATGTTTTTTTTTAATTACGCGCAGACGACAGCCAGTATTTAATATCTTTATAAATAAATTGCATTACAATAACTTCTATACAATTAGGTCAAGAGATAAACCTATTTTCTCATAGTCTAATGATTATTATCCGTTCAGATTCTAAAAGATGAAGCAAGTAAACTAAAGTTATTCTACGAAGTCGAGAAAGTACAAGTTTTGACCTTATTTATAATAGATAAAAAGAATAGCTGTCATATAAAAGGGCAAGTGTTTGAGCGTTGACATGTGATATGGTATACATGCATGTTTATGTTGTGTTTGAATTTGGAACGTCTTTAAAATAGTCTTTGTACAAATAATAAAATTAACCAAATACAAAGATAGTATACGTGGTAAAGGGGGATACTTCAATAACTATTGAGGTAGTTTTTTTTTATATCATAAGGTAGCAAACGAGCGAGCGGCCACCTGAAATCGCTGAATTGATGACCGTTGCCCATAGACATACACAATTGCGTATGCGTTGCCTACCTTTAATCGACGGAGGAGAGGATGCACAGAAAGAGAATATTTTCCCCTTCCATGCATCCTCTCATCCGGAAAGTCCACTTCCACTTCCCATCCCTTCCCCATAAGAAAATGGGTGGGAAGGGAAAGTGGACTAAATTAGGCTTCCGGGACGCACACTCATCAGACGAAACGCGGAATTGCTTCCACTTCACGCCTGTCTTCTGTGTGGTCGTGGTATTTCACCGGGCGAGCCGGGCCGATTCGTGCGAAGATGTTAAATCGGGCTCTACCACTGTTAAAAGGTAGTATAAAGATTGTATATTTTATGAGAGTTTACACTGAATTTCGTATGAATCACTCTGTATGTGGCAGTAAGTAAGTCTTTTAAATATTATTCATTTAATTTTATAATTGTTCCGAGTATAACTGAGTTATCGTAATAACAATGACAAGGATATTTACGGTGTTATTTTCTTGTCAATTAAATGATTAAGACTTCCGACATTCAGTTTCATATAATTGCGTCTTTGATTATATATCCACCATTGTTAGTTTGTTCTGATCATACTTAAATGATAAATGTTTTTGATTTTAATGTAGATATGTAAATCTATCGTATGAAATGCAAATACAATATTATTGTTAAGGAAAATCATTTATCACTGCATATTAATATATGCAATGCAATGCAATCGTTGAATGCGTGAGTTAGTAAATGTCAAGTTAAGAGT